TTTTAGAGAGAGAAAGATGAACCAAAGGAGAAGGAGGCTAGGGTTTTGATCCAAGAGTGGATTTGGGAAGATTCTCCCCAAGAGAAGTTCAACATAAGTGCCAAGAAGATTAGAAACATCCTTCATGATGGTTTCTACCTCTTCCCCTTGTGTTTCTCCCATTTCTAACATGGAGTATATTTCTTTTTCACTTGGGTGTTGTGAAACCCTAGCTAGATACCATGTGGTTTTGTGTTATGTGAATTGAATTATTGTTTATGGGTGTTGTTTAAACAATGATTGAGGTATTATTCATGTTGATTGTGTATGTTTGTGCTTAGCAATCTAAGGATTGTGCATGTTGGTGGTTAGGAATCTAAGGATTGTGCATGCTTATGCATAGCAATCTAAGGGTTGTGCATGTTTGTGCTTAGAAATCTAATTATCCACTTAACCTAGATTAGAGAGGAAACCCCCCCCCCCCCTCTTTCAAGGGAGACTCAATTGATTTGGTATTCCTAGGGCCTTTTAAGTCTCCTAACTAGGTTAATTTAGGGCAAATATCAATGTTGGATTCAGCAATTTGGTTAAGCGCAATTGAGCCGTCCAACCCTTGGTTTGAGTGGGGGAGTAAGTCAACCATTGATTTCCTAAACCGAGAGGGCCGAGTGACTGCCTATAATGTATTCCTCGGTTTAGCAATCGTGAGTGTGGTCTACGACCATGGTAGTAGTTAGGGGGAACTGATACCCGAGTGATCCTTTCACAAAAGAGCTTTCAAAACCATTCACTTTTGTCTTGTTTTATTTTAATTAGCAAACCTTGTTTCTAGATAATGATTTGAATGACTGAAGTAGGGGTACACGAACTGGCCCGGGTTGCTATTTAAACATACTTATCCTGTACTGCACTCGACTAAGGTTTATCCTTGGACCATAGGCGAGAATTTATTGTGGTATTCGGAACGAGTCAAGTTTTTTGCGCCATTGCCGGGGAACAATGATCTGTTATCTTGAAAAAATTGTTTGGTGTTAATCTAGCATTTAATTTCCAGTTTTGAAAGTGTGTGTGTTTTGCTTGTACTAGACTTGGTGTTGTTTTCTGATTGTGTGTAGGTGGTGCATGACTCGGAGTAACGCGGTACCTTTGCTACCACTTGACGAGGACATAAACCGAACTTTCAGGCTCCAAGAAAGGGAGAGAGAGCTAGAGGAAGCAAGTAGAAGGAGTGAAGGAAGGGGACAACAATTGGGTCCCGGTGTTAGAGGAGAAGAAGTTATAGAAGTGGAAGTTGAACCCGTTGTTGGAGTAGAAATGGCGGGAAACCAAAGACAAGATGGAGCCGCCCAAGTTCGTCAGCTAAATGATGCGGCGGAGAAAGAGGAAGCCCCGAGAACAATGGGGGTACTATATGACCCCACGGCCGACAGACATTCAATCGCAAATCCTACACCCTCCAGTGGCGGCAAACAATTTCAAGATCAAGCCGGCTCTACTAACTATGATACAGAGCAATGCTTTGTTCCACGACGTTGAGAGCGAGTCACCAAGAGAGCGCGTGCAGAGATTCTTGGAGCTCGCGGGGAGCTTGAAAATCAATGGTTTGCCGGCTGAAGCATTGCAACTAAGGCTTTTCCCCTATTCACTTTCAAGGAAAGCACTTAGGTGGCTAAACAATCGCCCACCTCGGTTAATCACCTCATGGGACGACCTCCTTAACAAATTCATGGCTCGCTACTGCCCTCCTTCAAAGACGGCATAGTGGAGAAAGAAGATTACCCATTTCGAGCAAGAAGAGGACGAGACCTTGAGGGATGCTTGGGAGAGGTACTCTGATTATTTTCTTCAGTGCCCTCACCACGAGTTTGAAGAACAGTTTCGGATTGAAACCTTCTACGGAGGCCTAATGCAGGAAGATAAAATTCTCATTGACTCCTTGTGTCAAGGTAAATTGATGAATATGGCTCCGCCCCAAATAACCGAGATACTTGAAGACATGCCCCTCAAGGGATACGATTGGGGTTTGACTAGAAGTGGAAGGAGAAGCAATGATAGGGGAGTGAGAAGTGTGGGAGCGAGCGCTCCGCTTGATGCGAAGTTGGATAAGTTGATAGAAGTAATGCTTGAAGATAAGAGGCAAGGAAAACGACTAGTGATGTCGTGCGACTGGTGTTCCAGCACCAGCCATGAGATGGCGGAGTGTCAGGCAATGAAGGAGGCAACCGCCCCGGAGAAACAAGTCAACTTCGTGGCAAATGCTAGGGCTAACAACCCATATAGCAATACTTATAATCCCGGATGGAGGAACCACCCCAATTTTGCTTGATCATCACTGATTAATTCAAGGCCCCCGGGTTTTCAAGGTGCCACGGGAAATTACCAACCTCGGCCGACCTTCATCCAACAAACGCCTCAAGTCCAAAGCTCAAGCTTCCAACAACCGTACCAAGCACAAGGTGGCCTAGGGTTTCAATCTCAACAACAACCCGTCAAGCTATCTAAGCTTGAAGACCTAGTGAACACCTTTGTGAGTACGGTACCCAAAAGTTCGAGAACATAGAGCAATTTATGGATGTGGCGACTACCAAGTTTACCTCGGTTGAGGCGGGACTCCGAAGCCACCAAGCGAGCCTCCAAAGTTTGGAGATGAAAATCGGAAACCTTGCCGTCATCCTCACCAAGAGATCGAAGGGAGCCCTACCTTCCCAAACTGTGGCGAACCCCAAGGATCATGCCGGGGTGAATGCAATTTAAAGTGGGGAGTGTGAAGGTGACTCCGGAAGTCACCACTAAAGAAGTGATTGAGAAGGAAGATACAAACCCAAAGGATGGAGAGAAGAAGCCCTCGAGGAGAGAGAGGAAGGCGGCAAAGAAGGCATCGCCAGTGAGTGGGTACACACCGCCTCTTTGTTACCCCACGAGGATGTACAATGAGAGGTTGGAGAATGAGTGTGGAGGTTTCATGGAAATGCTCCGCAACCTCCACCTCAATATCCCATTCCTTGAAGCCATGGCTCAAATGCCAAGATATGCCAAGTACCTCAAATGATTCCTCGCCAAGAAGCCAAAGCTTGAAGGCCTCGCCAACATGACTCTTGGTGAGGAGTGTTCGGCTTACCTCTTCAACCGTTTTCCCAAAAAGCGGTCCGACCCAGGTAGCTTTACTATCCCTCTTGATATTGGTAACCATCATATAGACAATGCCTTGGCGAACCTAGGAGCTAGTGTTAATGTGATGCCTCAACATCTCTTGTTGTTTACCGCCGGCGACAACCATGGAGAAGCTCCTGCTCACGATCGTTGACGAATTCTGACGCTCAGACGCGAAATTACTGCACCTTCTCCGAGCCGTCGCGTGCGAGAGACTACTGCCATCAGATGATTCCTTCCTTCCACACAAAAAAAAAGTAGTAATAAAAATAGACCGGTGCCCAAAAACAGAGAAAGACGGTGACAGAGACAAGTATTTTCTCTCGCCTTCCATCTTCTCCGGCCGTCCGATCGATCAAATGAACAAGTTGAGAAGCTTCTTCTCCTCATTACCGTCGTACGCACCGTACTAATCTCTTCCACCGCCCCACGCCCCAGCAGCGCTACTCTCGAAACAAGTGGTCACCGACTCCTCGGAGTTCATCGAAGGTGTGCCAGGCCACCTGAAATCCGGTTTGCACAGTGGAACAGACTTGGGAGAGAGGGTCGGGGTCAGCCGGAGATCCTAATCATTCATCGTCAGCAACATCACTCTAGTCGGCGGCGCCGCTGCTTCCCCAACCCGTTTCTGCTTCGGGGAGACTTGGATCTAGAAATCGAGAACCGATAATGGGTACTCAGATTCGGAATCAGACTCTGGGTCTGGCTCGAGGTTCGTTCATTGCTGTCGTTGAGCTTCCACATCTCGCAACAACCAACATCGACCTCGGAAGCTTCATCGTAGGCCTGAGATTCGGCCACAAACTCAGGGATGGGGCTCAGAGTCCCGCCGCGCAGCACCGTCTCCACCGCGGCCTGGCAGACGAGCCAGATACCAGTCCATAGTAGCCCCACGGCCCCGTTTACCGGGTTCACGGTTCTCCATGCTTCAAATTGAAAATTATAAGACTTTTTTATTTTATTTATTTTATGGTAAAAATAAGTTGAACATTAAAATAGATTAATTATATTTTGTTTATTATTTCTTAATTGTCACGTCACTAAGTTAACAGTCAATTTTGAGAGTGGACTGCCACATCAGGCAAAGTTAACGAAGTTGGACGGGTGACCAAACGTAAACAGTTTAGTAAACTAAAGTACCATCAATGAATTTAAATATTTCGAGTGACCAAACTTAAACATTTTTTATAATCTCAGTGACCAACCATGCAATTAACCCATTTCATTGTTGGAACAAATAAACATTCTATCCCGACATACAATTGCATTTTGATAATTGCTACTAATAATATCAAATTACATCATAATTAAAAGCGTATGAGCATCATTCAAGTCCAAAAGATGATGGGAAGCAAGGTTGTCAAACCGGTTTGTGCCAGTGTGCCGATTTAGCAAGTGGAATGGTTCAACCGGTGGTACATATCGATTTGTGCCGGTTCATGCCGGTTAATATTACAAATAATTTACAAATACTCATATTTAAGCACGACATTTAACGTCAATACCTAAATATTTGTACTCGAATCCAACAAATAACATCAACATTTAACTTTTTAACACATAAAATAAATAATAAATTACTTTTTATCAAATAAATTCACTGATATAATATCATTTTACTTAGAGATTCGTATATCGATCATGCCGGTCATACCGGTGGTGTCATACTGGTTTTATGACCAGTACAGGTTGAACCAGGTTCAACCAGTGGCCCGCCGACCGGCGTGACAACCATGATGGGAAGCTTTTAATACATGCTTCTACCATACATCAGTGTTCTAGAAAGATCTAACACCATGTACAAAAAGTCATAAATCTTCTGATGGAGTATTCTCATCTTCCTCCATATATAACAAAATGTTAACTGTTAATCCCCTGTTCAGCGTTCATTACCTGCAGTAGCCCAAAGAAGAGTCTTAACATAAAAGAATGATAACTAAACTAATTGGAATTGATGGATTATCATCAAAATAATAACAAAGCAAATAGTTGGCCAAAAAATAAAACCAAATGGGAGGGTCATATATCAGTAGTTATATCAATTGTCCATAAGTGTTCTGGAAAAAAAATGCAGAGGGCAAAATTACCAACTATCTTAAGTGATCAATTAGACAACTGAAATTAAGGTTCTAAAATCATCTAAGATATAAAACAAAAGTAGCTCACAAGTTGGATTAACATAAGGAGGAAATATACTTCATCTAAAAAAATCTAGTTTTCCCCTGTTGCTTTCATGTGCACATACATTCCGCCCTTAATAATAAATAAATTATATAAACAAAAGTCTACAGCTCATAAGTCTCAGTTGGTCTAGTATGCACATGAATACAGCTCCTAGAGTCAACTTCCCAAGAAACTAAATAGAGGTGTGATAAAAAGAAAGCAAACAAAGATTACCTCTAATATTATCTGTTCTAACTAATTCTGACAACTCAAAAGAATAACAGTGTACGTGCCTAAGATTGTTGATTGTTGCTAAGTTTGGCCTTCAGATTGTCATTCTCTTGTTGAAGACGAGCTTTTTCTTCTTCGAGTCTTCTTAATTTCACTGCACAATCAGCATCCTTCTTTGCATTTTGCCCTTCAGATGTTAGCATTTTTTCCCGCTCCAGATCGTCTGTCATCTTCCTTATTTGCTCTTTCATTAACTTCACGCCTTGCTGTAGCCTTCAAGTTGTCATTCTCTAGTTGAAGAGAAGCCATTTCTTCTTCGACTCTTTTTAGTTTTGCTGCAGACTCGGCATCTTTCTTTTTTCCCTTCAGATGTTTTGGCTTTACCCCAACTCCAGATCCGATTACATGACCGTGATTCTGTTTTCCAAAACACTTTTCCATCACTTCGATCCGTTCCAAACTAGGATCAGCTTCAATTGTTTCCTTAATATTAACCTATGAAATATGACAATTAACCAAGATATCATCATAGAGCACTTCTACTATGCTATATAGTATTGGTGCTTTAATGTACAACTTAAAGTTGTACCATAACATTAAATTTATAAGTTTATGTTGTACCATTATGTTATAGTACAACTTTACAACTTGAAGTTGTACCATCACATAAAGGTACAAGTTCAAGTTGTACCATAAAAGAATTTGTACAAGAAGTATAGATACAATCTGAAGTTGTACCATAACATAAATTACAATTTTAAGTTATACCATAAAGACAAAAACCTATAGCACCAATGATATATTATAAAATTTATCATCATAATAAAATTCAAGTAGTGGCATTACGAGATTAATTACCATATTCTATCTGATATTTGCAATCGAACGACTACCACTATGATGATGCATTGTTTTCTTCATTCTATTCTTTTGATTCCTTTTGCTTCTTGCCTGATCTAAGTCTATTTGATTCCTTTTGCTTCTTGCCTGATCTAAGTCTAGCGAGTGCCTTGCACATGTTTGGACCTCGAACTTTTTTCTTTGGTTTTACAACTCCTTTACTAATAACAGCCCTAACATCAGTTCGGAGACCTACAACACCAGTTGAAGCACCTGCAACAGCAGTAGCAGCTGCTGTGACGACAGTAGCACCTGTTGTGATGCTAGTAGTAACTCTTGTGACACCCATAGCAGCACCTGGCAACTAATATCATGCAATTTTCAGCACATGTGATACTAGTTTTAGTACATGTGACTCCAGCTTCAGCACTAGAAACACCAATTGCAACACCTGCCGTAACAGTATCAGCAACCATAAAAAAGAATAATCTATCTCATTGAATATTCAGAATAGCTTAAGAAAGATAAATTTGTTTTTATGTTCACTACACATAAGCATAATATGATGTAGCAATTCATTCACAAATCACAATCAACCAATAACTAATGGATAGTTACCATCCATCCATGTAGTAATGAATAAACTCACATTGATGATCTACTTGTACATTCTCAATCAATAACATATCCTTCATGAATGCAGCTCCCATACCTTTTTCTGATGGAACTTCTTGATTTCTTGGGACATCACTCAGTTGCTAGTCATCACCATTCCTTCTTCCATTTTTAGTGGATCTTGTATTATCAACCAAAGAACCCTCTTTCGACCAAAAAAAAAAAGAAACCAAAGAACCCTCCAATCCTTGATAAGCTATGAAGTTAATAAATGTTAGTATGTTAAGCTGTATTCTGTAAATCTCTTGGACAACATCGTTTAGAAGCTGTAAATCCCTAGGACAAGATTGTTAAATCTACTTACACATGGGAGCCCAGGCTAGCAAATGATAATCTGTGTTTGGCCACACTCCTTCACAACAAGCCCAGTGGAAGGAACTGCGTAGCACCTTTCTTCTTAGTGGGGTTACTGAACACCTCTAAAGCATTTACTTTGTTCATTGTATCTCTAAAAACTAGAAATACAAATAGAATGAAATCAAGACATGTTTAACATAATTAGTAAGAAAAGCAGTTTATTAATAGACTTGCATGATGTTCACAAAAAGGAGACTAACGATAAATGCCATAACAGATGCCTCTCCTCTTTAAATCCCAACAACAAAAAGTACAGAGTGTGTCTTCCATAATCAAGTCATTCCCACCTACAACACCAACTGAAACTTCCAAACAGAAACAAAAAAAACCCAGATAAATGCAGCATTTCATCTATCCCGAAGAAACACAACCTGTCAAACTGCTCAAAAAAACCTCTTGATGAGGAGGTAGCAAGACCATGACAAACCATGCCCTCAATAGAGTCTCCGCCCCAAAGGTAGCCTCAGATTCTCACTCTAACCAAGACCTCAAGAGGCAATAAGGAGCTAGACCCACGCAGGCTCTAAATTGCACCTCTGAATCGTTCTACATTGAGAATTACTATAACCTGAAATGAAGTTAACTAAATTCAATCCCTAAAATTTTCCCTGTACATAAAACTAATTAAGAACAATACAAAATACCCCTAGCTCAACAGAAAAAAAAAAAAAAAAGGAAAAAAAAGAAGAGTGCGTGAAACACAAAACCATCAATCCATGACAGATTGGGTAAGCTGAAACTTAATCAATGGCAGCGGAAGAGAGAGGAGGTCTGAAAACGAGAGCTTCTATAGGTTTACTTTTAGATATGCTTTTGAAACAATGAACAAGCCGAGAGGTGAAGGACGACAGTGCTGCCGATGGAACAATGAAACACGACGACACCTTTCTTGTTCGAGGGAGGAGGTCAGAGATCTAACAATGAAAGGGCTGCAGATGAAAACGGATAGTCGGCGGTTGGCGAATATGAGTGCGGTGGAAGAACTGGGCAAGGTGATTTTTTGTGTGATAGTACTCAGAGAAGGGGTTGTACTAAAACCAGAGAGGTTTTTCTCAAACGACATGGGAAACTAATTATTATTATTATTTTTTTTCATAGATATGCTATGCGAACAACAGAAAAATATATAACAATATACATAATTTTTGCAGGTCAAATCACAAATTAAAAGACTTTTGTAGGACTGATAAAATAAGGCTGTCCTATAATACCTAAAAGACATGGGCAATATCATGATTTATTCCCCTTAAAAGGATCAAAATCATGAACCGAAGCAAACCCTTGCAGAGTTCACAACACATCAGCACAAAAGCCCATAAAAGCCTCCACTAGTTAAACCGCTAATCCTGCAAAATAAATGAAGAAATAGGCAAAAGCCAACCAGACCCACCTGCAACACCAAACAAGAACGGATCCAACTAGACCCCGTCGCCAGAAAGTCCAAACCAGACTCACAAAACCGGTGAAGCAGGAAGGCCCAAGAGCCAAAAGCAACAAAGCTCGACTAACCAGATTTGGCCGATGGGCCCAAACAGGTCCACAGACTTCTGCTTAAAATTAAGAATTTAAAAAACACCTAACTAATATATAATAATAGGAATTTAAAAAACACCTAACTAATATTAATATACTATTGCGCCCTTGAGAGCAACCGTTGGCATCCACCAATGGAAGAGGGACAACGCCAAGCACCCCACCGCCTCGCCCACTCGCTTATTTGTAAATTAATAAAAAATAAAACGCAAACTCAAAAACTTTCAGGGAAAAAGTTGGAGCCAAAAGAAGAAGAGACTCCCGCATTTCCAAATCTCCATTCTCTTTCACTTTACTTTTTGATTGGGCCACAGTTTTTCTTTATATTATTATATTAACTAGCTTGGACCTGTTCGGTTGGCCGAAATATTTTGATTTGTTTTTAATGAATTATGTGAATTTCAAGTTTTTCTTGAATATTTATAATTGAGTTTTCTATCAATCGTATAATCAATCTATATCTATATCTATATCTTCTATATATTATGGAAATTCAAAAACAATCTCTTGTCACATAAGCACTTTGAGGATCCACAATTTGCCAAGTTGGACAACATTTTTACGACAAAAAAAATTAGTTATTAATGTATTTATGGAGCTACCTCTCTCTTCTTTAATATTTTCATTTCTTTTATCCAATTATTCTTTTCATTTATCCATTTATTTTTTTCTTTTTTTGCTTTAATAATAAGTTACATGTTGATATATTTAACCAAACACACATAAATAATAATTTTTTTGTCAAGTAAACAAAATATAAATAGAAAACAGAGAGTGACATATATCACATTTGTTCAAATAAAAAGTACCCAATTAAAACTTATGAAGTAAACTTTCTACTCATTTTTACTAAAATTGAATGATAAGTTACATTTTGATAAAAAAATTAAACAAACATACACATAAACAATAATATTATTATTGATTAAACAAAATAAATACGAAAAGAGAGAAAATAAACATTTGACATTCAATTACCATTGAAAAATAAAGTATATTAGTTTATATTTTGTTGCAATGAAACACTCTCTTATTCGGAAAGTATATGTCTATAAAATAAAATAATTATTATTTAGCAAAATGTTAGAGTATAATCTTGATCGAGTAGTTATAGTTATTTATTTATTAAAGACTTCTTATTCATTCATATCATGTTATACCATAAACTCCTCAAATGAAGAGGAATTGCATGTGCAATAATTTTATAATGTGTCCTAAGTTCACATTAATAATTTTTGCTCTTTATCATGTTGGATTGAGCAAGCTCTATTGAGGTCCTAAGTCGTATACTAAGAAATTTTCTTTCAGACTTGGAGTTATCGTCAACAATTATAACATATGTGAAGGTTAAAGTAATCTTTGTTGACAATCTACGATAAACATTCCTTGATGAGACACAACATTCCTTGAAAGATAACATATGTGAAGGTTAAAGTAATATTTGTTGACAATCTACGATAAACATCACGTTTCATCAACGAATAACCTAGACATTTACCAAATAAAGGTTGGCAATTTTTAGTAAGATAGTCAATTGGGATAAACATATTTATCCAACAATCAAGTATTTTTATCCAATCATCTCAACTCTCAAAATTGGTTGCCAGTTCGTCCAAACTCGAGAAACACAAATTGATATATATTGTATAAGATAATAAGTTAATACAAATAATCAAATGAAATCCACCGATATTGTTCAAATGATAAGACATTTTAAATGCACTTGAAATATGTGTGTATTGTAGACACTCTTTATCACTTATTAATATATAAGTGATAAATCTTTGAGAATTACACATTCAACGACCATGTTAAGACCAAAGTTCTTGATAGTGTGTGTGTGTCTTAGATTGAGATTCTAAGCCAACATATAAACAATGACCACGGGTTGAGGTTTAGTCTAAACTTCAAGAATTAACAACTGATACATATTGTATAATATACTAAATTTAAGTGTCTTGATAAAAAAAACTAACGTCCAAAATGAAAATTAGTCGAGATTAGAGAATTTAATCATCATGAGGGCCATAGTGTGTGTCAAGTTTCAATATAGATGAATAAATTGATCCAATACGGAAGTATCATTACAACATTGGTCGAGAGTTCGTCCAAACTCGAAGATCATGAATGTGTATTGGATTTCCAAATGACCAAAATTCGAATTCCTTTTGGGGGCTATATACCTCTGATCACAACCATAGGTGCCAAAGAAGAATGAAAAGAAGCCCAAAAAAATAAAAAAAATAAAAAAACCTCTGATACGCTGAACAAAATAAAACCATATTGAGCTATGATCCTGTCAGCCCTACCATTTTATTCTCCATAAAGGGGGTTGTGGGAGAAGATAAGAAATAAATAGCAGGATCTTAGGATTTGCCTCTTTGTATATTACATATCTAACGTTAGACAACCCTAATGGTTGTCTGACGTCATGGAAGTAAAAGCGGGATCTCTATCCCGGGAATGGGGGATAGGCAAGTAGCACTTTTAATATGAGTATTATGGGAGATAGGATAGGTCTGATGAAGTATGTGGATAATTTTGAGTATACTATATATACACATACACACACATATACATATATATATAATATCAAGTGAGTTCTACGGTACCTAGGGTGAAATTCAGTGTACCGCATACCTTGAGTATGAAAACGTTATCCAAACCTTGAATTGATTGATCTTTCGGACAAGATGCTATACTCCAACCCTTAGACATCAAAATCTAGGTTTTAATTCGCTAAATCTTATATCCCAAGATCAATTTAATTAGAAACAATGATAGACGATTATGATTCGTCCAAATATAAGCAAAACATGAATGCACCATCTTAGGGTTTATAGTTTATGATTTAGATAATTAGGACCTAGGATTCACTCATTAAGGTTAGGGTATATTATCAGACCAAAAAATCCTGCTAATTCGAGGTCTAGATTGTTTTTTCATACTCAAGGTATATGGTACCCTAGATCTCACTTGGGGGACCGTAGAAGCCCCCCAATATCAAGGTATACTATACTTTTGATTTTACTCAAGATACGATAGAAGATGGATATGACGAAGTATGCCCATAAATTAGAGGTTAGAGAATTAGGGACTGGAGTTCACCTATTAGAGGTTAGGATATAGTATCATGCCCCAAAAAACTTCGGTTAATTCGTGGTCTAAATAGTATAACTCAATGGTCGTATGGTAGTGTGAACGCAAGAGTATAGCATACTCCTGCCGCACGCTAGCTTGAACTATATGTGTGTGGGGGGGGGGGGGGGGGGGGGAGTTCAGGTTGGCGTACGCTAAACATTAGTGTTTTGGTTGATAAATTTTGACATAAGTTCTAAATAGGATGTGATGGTGACATCATTTATAATTAGAAAACCGAAGCATCATAAGTGAGTGTGCTAAATATTGGAAATTTTCAATATAGACATACTACAAACTCTGTTATGAATCAAGAACACAAAATATTTGGAAAATCCAAAATGATTTAAACATATAAATAAGTTAATTAATATAAATGATAAAATAAATCTCTCCAGGCAACGGGCCGGGTAAAAAGCTATTTTATATTGAGAGAGTTCTCTATAATTTTAATCATGAATTTATAAATAGATTTCATTGTCATGATAGTCAATTTATTTCTAAACATTCTATACCTATTTAACTTCAAGTGACACGTTCACTCTTTAATTACAAATTCCAAGTAGTTAATCTTTTTTTTTAGAAACCAAGTCATTAATATATATAAAGTGGAAGTTAGGTTACTGTTGCCAAATAATTTACATTTTGATACCTCAAATTTAATTAAGTCACAACTTAGTTACTATAATATAAATTTTTTATTTTGATACCCCAAATTTAATTTTAATATGAAATCATTGAATAATTATGTTTGGTATGTAATTTTATGAGATTTTCAATCCTATAATTTTTTCAAATTTACATATTTGTCCAATGTTTATATTTCGCTTGAGTCCATGAATCCAATCCACCAATCCTCTCGAACCAATTCATGAATCTAATCCACCATAACATAAAATTATAAATTTAGTTTGTACAATACAAGATATTGTAGCACTCAACTGTAGGAGAAGATTCGACCATTTTATATTTGCTTATTATGTGAATATTAAATAAATGATAAAAGAGATACGACTCTAAAATATTGCAAGAGCGAATTTATAAACTCATTGAGTACATTTACGGGGTACTAAACAAACTTCTACTAACTACATATAATAAAATATGCGACATCTACATAAGCGACTGTCGATAAATTGCTACGGTGAAAAGGGTTGACTATTGTATTGACGGCTAACTAAAAGAATTGGTCAAAACCTTTCTATAATCTAATCCCTTTTCATTTCATTTTTCACTCGCCTTCCATAACCCTTTCTTTATTTCTTTCTTTGCATTCTTCGTCTAATTACCCTAATTAGTATACTATTTTTATGTATTATAATCACAAGTATGAACGGGTTCATACATGACTCACCAACAGTCTAGAGAACTAATAATTGAACTATTAACCACTAACTTTTTTCAACTCAATGTCAAGCCCAATTAAAAATAATATATATGGTTATTACTTATTGGAAAGTCGTCATTTTCCACTATGGAATTTGATATGTGTAGATATCTAGCTAAACATTCCATGTATATTTGTTGAAAATTCTAGCCCGGGTGAAAAAGAAACTCTCTAGAGAGAAGCAAAAGGAATATAAACTTCCATCTACAAACTTTCAAACCCATATATACGTCACTCATACCCTAGCTATAATCAATGGGTTTACTTGGGTTTAGCTAAAGTAAAAAA